AGCCACTCGTCCTCGAGCGCGATCAGCTTGGGACCGTCGGCGCCCTCGGCCTCGGCGCGGTTGAGAATGTCGACCAGAGGCTCGAGGCTCGTGTTGGTGGTGCCGAGAATGAAGGCGTGGTCGCGCTCGTCGACGTTGGTCGTGATCAGCGTAGCCGCCTCCGAGTCGGTACGTGCCACGACAAGGTTCTCGACGCCCATAATGTCGTACTGCAGGCGGATGGCCACCAGACGGTTGATGTGCTCCTGGATGGGCACCAGCACCTTACCGGCCATGTGACCGCACTTCTTGGTGCCGGGAGCCTGGTCCTCAATGTGGATACCCGCCGCACCCTTCTCGACAAAGAGCTTGGTGAGCTTCATCACGGCGGTCAGACCACCGTGACCCGTGTCGGCATCGGCGACAATGGGGCGCAGGTAGTCGACGACGGGCGTCTTGGCGCGCTGCTCGGGCGACAGGTTGGTGCGCTCCTCGCGCTGCTTGCGGTCGTGGAAGAGCTGTGCCATGAACAGGTGCTCCACCTTGAGCGGCACCGTGTTGTACGGGTAGTCGGCAAGATCCGGGCCGGGCTCGTTGGTGGACGAGGCGGTCGACGAGCACTGCCAGCCCGACACGTAGACAGTCTCGAGGTGCTTGGCCATCTGCGTCACCTGGACGGGGTCGAGAGCACCGTAGGTGTGCGAGGTGGTGCCCTTGGAGGCATGGCCCTCGAGCGTCTTCCACAGCTTCTGCGCCTGCGTGTTGGAAGGGTAGGTCTGCTTGAGCGTGCCGCGCTTAGACACCACCTGCTCGGCGGTGTAGGGTCGCGTGGTGTTGGCGAAGCGGGGGTTCTTCCACCACTGCTTGACCGCCTCCACCTCCTCCTGGAACTGCTTGAGCTCCTGGTCAGCCATGATTGCGAATGGGCGCTGTTCTACTTTTGGGTTAGGGTGTATGCGTGACGAGGGTGTTGGAGCTGTTGCGCCAATGCTTTTTGGTTTGAAGAAGGATGTAGGTGGCTCGATGGGATGAGAACCAGTGCGAGCGATGGGAAAGGGGTGTAGGTGGAAGCACGAGAAGCTAGATCGTGCCCAGCTCAGGTGTATATACTCTGCCTCGCCCGGCCTGTTGCAGTCATCGCTCCGGTCGAACGAACGACG